GTTTTTTTTTTTTTTTTGTAGTTTTACTGATTTACAGCCTGCTTGGCCCCAAGCTTACCATGGCAAGTTACTTAACCCTCTCTAAAAGAAGTCACAGATAATCATTATTTCTGTACTGGTTTTTTACATATTTAAAATTCTAGTTTTTTTCTGACTTAAAACTACACAGAAAGTGGGTATAATAAAGTTCTTAAAGAATGGAGAAAAACATTCAAAACTAAGTCACTAAAAGCAAGTGTTTCCTCACTTTCCTGCCTCCTCAGCAGTTACTATGCATGTACTCTAAAAGGGATATTAGAACCACAGATCAAGAGAAAAATTAATTTACATCATACAATTTTTCAAGGTAAGAGATACAAAGAAAATAAATCTGAACTGATTTTTGAAGGAGGCATTTATGAAGGATGATTTTGAAGAAATAAATGGTGATTTTGAACTTATTGGGACATGAGGACAAAATGAGAACAAAACAATATGACAGAGAATCTTGTAACATTTTTTGATTTACACACACAGTCACTGAAATACTGCTATCTCTAGGTCCCTAGCTAAATGAGAAACTAGATAGGTGACTGGTTAGACATGTAGAAACTGACTGAGAGTCAGACACTGATAAGTAGGCAGGTTTCAGACCTAAGTTAGGCACTTTGGGGGATGTGAAATGGGGGAACCTGATTTCTGTCACTAGAGAATAGAAAGAAATTAATCTCAAGCCACCTAAGTTTTTTGGTATCACAGCCCCTACACTCAGTGATATGTACTTAACAGGTTTTTAGAACTTGGTAAATGAAAAGGCAAAGGTCCAAATGGAAAATGGTGCTGAAAATATAAAACAGCAAAGTGACTAAGTGAGTAATTTATACTTGAAAATAACTTTAAATAAAATCCAAAATAAAAGTAGAAAACATAAAAAATGTAACTGCTAGAGGCATCATATCCACATGATGTGCAAAGTGATTAAATTTTTAAAAATGTAATACAGGTTTTATTTGATATGGCTACCACCATTTAATTACAGGATTTCTTGGATAATTTCTACCAAAGAAATAATTTCCTCCTCTCAAACATTCATATAATTGATGACTTGGGTACCTTAAGCTGTGAAAACTACTAAGTGTCCTCATGATTCTTTAGTAGGAAAAGCAACATTAAAAGAAAGTGGAGCATCAAAATAGTTATTTCAAATCTACTTTATGCCCAATCTGATATGTAAATGGAACCATATTCACATTCTATAAGCTTCTGAATTTTATTTTCCTGTTTTATTTATTTTATGAGCAACTTTATTTGAATCTGTACCACTTTACTTAACATTTATTAAAGCTGTAAAAAAAGCCATGCACAATTTATTTATAGTATTGTACATTAACTATATTTGAAGATTACACAAAAACTTCGCAAAACTGTAACATGGGAAGACATGTGTGAAATAATACACTTAGGAGCTTTAAAAAATATTACGTACAGAATTTTGCCACAATTATTTCAGTTTATAAGTGTTATGCAAGCCCTGGCTTGAAATAAGACTAACAAACTGCAAATGAGTAGAATTTCAACAAATGAAAAACTATAAATGTTCAGCTAAAAAGCAAAGATATATAGTTGAATTACTACCAGGTAGCAATGGGAATTTATAAAATGGGAAAAATTATTATTCTTTAAAAGTCTTTCATGAATAATAGGCTGTCAGCAATATTTTATAAAACATTCAGAAATAGTTTCTCAAAGTGTGTTCATCACCAAAATTATGTTTTTAATTAACTGGAGCTGTGAATTTTAAGTACTTATTTATTGTCCTATAAGGGAGTCTCAGTCTTCCCCTTTAGGGAGAAAGGAAGAAAGGGAGAAGAAAACCAATCAGTAAATTTAGATTCGAGTAAAAGATCCTGGTACAAATATCATCAACACATAACAGAGTTGCAATAACCTGCAAGTCCACATAATTTTAACTGTACTCTTAGTGTAAACTTTAGGTTTGTTCATTCAGTTTATGTTTAAGGATCTCCTATAAGGAAGTAAGTACCTCATCCTTAAGAGCTCAGAAAATAATCAGTAGGTATTCTCTAGATGCATGCCTTTCAGTTTTTACTGTTGTGGCTGAAGTACATTTAGATATTCAGACTGCCTCAGCTGGTAAGTTGTGTTCCTTCCACAGTCAATATACTGGTACCTCTCCTGGGATATCTGTTCAGAGTGTCCAAAGTATGCTGCTGTCACTGTAACTCTAAAAATAAAACAAATGGGGAGAAAGATTGAATAGATATATATAAAAAAATTTTCTAACATAACAATACTTTTGTACATCGAAATTCTCTCCCAAGATTATCTGAATAATGATAACTTAATATTGTACAGTATTTCTCCAACAAACATAAATGCTAACTGAACAAGCCCTATAAAAATAATTGTATACAATGATGTAATATTTTCAAAGTACCTATCATTATTAAAAATACTTAAGTTCATTACATTCTCAAAAATAACCATTATAGTTCTCTCATCATAGGAAAAGTGTTAATGTCAGCTAATGACCCAAACACCAAATCTAAAACCTACAATGTTTTACTGGCTAAGGATAATGCCCAATTTACAAATCAATAATAGTACTTCTCCTCATTTACTGTTAATGATTATTTACCACAGGCAGCAAGGAATTGGAACTTGAGCTCAGTCCTCCTCTCTACCTGAACCCCTGCCATTTTCCTGAGCTCCTGCAAGGTCCAGATTAACTGTTTAGCAGCCATGTGCTTCTTCACTACTCTCTGAGCCCCCATTTCCTCATCTGTGAAGTGTGATAATATGTACTTGATCTCATAGCACTCTTACAAAGCTTAAAACCCAAGTGAGATGCATTTGTAAATGCCATCTGTATACGCTATAGGCAATGTTACACTCTGTATATGCTATAAGGCAATGTTATACATCTTGAATTTTAATAAAGAAATACCTCTTTAAAAGAAAATTCATACTTACTGCATCATAAGTACTATGTTATGCACTTTGATGGATACCAGTGTACAGAAATCACTGTTAAAAAGAAAAAAAAATGACAACTATGACATTATAAATTTAAAAGTTTATGATTCCTCTTCCTATGTTAAAAACTAATAGAGAAACCAGTAAGACGACATAATAAAATAAGCATTTATTTTCTATCCTCAAGGATTAACATTTTTATGACTTTTTATTCTAAATATACATACTTTAACTATAGCAGTTGTAGAATTGGTCAACAAGGGCTATAAATTACTTCTACTTTCTGTTTAAAAATTTTAGGAACCAGTAAGTTATTCAGTAATTCTCATCAGACTAACATCAAAAGATGACAACAATTTATCATTGCTTTTCCTTAACAAGAATTAATAATCATTTATACCCAATTTAAAAGCTTTAGAACTTCAAACCAATAGCAAAGTATTATACATTATGAACATTTTTGGTTCTCCTATATTAAAACGTCAACAAATATTAAAATACATGAGAATATGATTCTCGTAATATAGTAAATAAAAAGTGACATGGTGTGTTGGATCCCAATTCTTTAGAAGTAAAAAATAAAAAACAAATTTTATATGTACAGGTGTATATACATAAATGTCATATATGTTAAAAGGCAGAAAAACAGAGATGATTAGAGGTCAGGAGTATTCCAAAATGTGGTCTGCTGACTGCTAAGATTATGGGAAATTAAAAACATACATATACTTTATTCTTCACACTTTATAATTGAATGGGAAAAAATTATTGATAATCTGCACTTACAACATGTAACTCTCTTCCTCCGCTATGATAGTAGGTACTGTGTAATCAATCTGAAAGGCAAAAAAATTAAAATATACCAGTAGAAAACAGGCTCAAAACATCAAGCATTTTGGATACATTTCATAATTTCAAACTTTAGAAATCTCTCTATGAGTTTGATTCTAAGACATTCTCTTACGCATGCATGGGATACATTTCAAAGTCAATTTTTGGAGGAAATTCTTTTTCTTCCTCTAGTTAGTATGATATACCAAGGTTGAGACTTATTTAACTCCACCAAAATATTTCATGACTAAAGCTTACTTGTTTCATGTCTAGTGGACCAATAGTGGTTATGTTGTTTAAGCGTGTCTTTCCAATAACTGTTTTTGAAAACTGAACTTGTGCAGTGATGTTTTCAACTTCAACAGAATAATAGTTATTATTCGTTATATTTAGCAAGTTCTGCAAAAGAAAGAAGGCAGAAAATGTACAAGTTATTTAAAAGTAAGCATAACAAATATGTATTCAAAATTAATAAAGAAAATGACTTCAGCTGTGGCCATAATTCATTTATGAGGAGGAAAAAAAGTATTACAAAAATGTTAAGAAGCATTAAATGCACCAACTGCTGGACTTATGCATGAGTACTAAGTATATGTTATGCCTACAATAAACAATTAAAAAAAAAAAGGTCCAGAAAATGATTAGCACACATATATGAAAGAGTGGATGTTAGAAAATCTATTTGTGGCCTTAACAAAAATTCAGTAAAAATAATTTTAAAATTTCATTTAATTTTTACTGAGTGTTAATATAGACATGTCTCCACAGACTATTAGTAAACTATTTCCTATTCTATTAACTATAAAGATGATCATTTAAAATGTTAAACTTTAAACTTTTTAATTTAAAAGAAACTGGTATTTTAACTTATATATGTGTATTTATTTTTACCAAGTCACTATGGAGAAGAAATGGGATAGATTCAAGTCTGTTTGGTTGGAAAGAAATGCAGCTGCATTATTTTTGTACTTAACAGCTGGGGCCAACTTTTGCAATTCTAATTCACAATGCTGTCTCAAATTACTTTAGAAAACAGTCAATGAAAATAAGAATTAGAAAACATCAAATTGAGAAATAACAAAAAATAAATAAGACATCTAAAATAGTCATATCAAAAGAAACCATAAGCAAAATAGTAGACACTAGATGATTAATCTTTAAGAAATATTTGAAAGGTACATAGAAATGGTTACCATCTATACAAAGAGCCCTTACAAACTGAAAAGAAAAAGGCAAAGCCTTAATAGGAAAAAAAACAAAGCAAGAAGAAAGGATATGAATAAACAAAAAAGTACAAATATAAATGGCCAAGAAAATTCTCAAATTTGAAATTCTCCGGTTCACTTATAATACATGAAGCATTACAGCCACTTTGGTAGTAATCTAGCAAAATGTCCATTAAAATAAAAATTATGTATATCCTTTGACCTAGCAATCCTACTTTTGAGAACTTATGCCACAGAAATAAAGACATTAGGATCTTAATAAGTGTTCTTTCTAGTGGCGAAAAGCCAAAAACCAACCACCAAAAGAAAAAAAAAAAAAAACAACCCGTAAATAAGGTAAATAACACTGAAAAATATGGTCATTACCTGGACTATTATGTAGCCATTAAAAAGAATAGATTAACTATAAGACTATGAGATAGAAAATTAGGAGAGACTTCTATAAAGCATTAACAAGTGAGTAAAACAAAGATGCATAGAAGTATGAATAAAATAGTATTAAAAAATAACAAGAAAAATTGAACATGTGTGTAAGTTAATATGAATATGGAGAAAACTATGGAAAGATGCAAAATGGAGTAAGTGGAAAGAAGAAAAAACAGTCTTTAAAAAAGGGTAAAGAATGTACTAGCAATCAGCAGTATGATCACATTTATACACTCATTTATTATAGTTATAAATGTATAGAGAAATGTTTAAAAATTACTTAAAATAGTAGAAATATACATAACCTTTATGTAAATAAACATTTTCATCTACTTGGCTCTTAAACCTGTCAATTTCATTTCTAGACACCATAGGAAATGAACTGTTAATTTGAAGTCAGTGGACCTCCTTATAGGATCAAGGAATGTGATGCAGTGCAATCTTGGAATCCTTACTTATAAGTACTTATAAGAATTAGAAAAAGATATATTAGGAGTTAGAAAGAAAACACAAAGATAAACATAAAAAAAGACACATAAAGACAAAAAGCTTAGTACTAAAGATCAGACATTATGCTGCTGAAAGTAGTAAGAATTCATTTAATTTATATAGGGCCATAATCATAAATTTTAAATAATGGTAACTTATTATCAAAGGTCTACACTATGTACAATCTTTATTGGCTAATTTAAGCTCAGGAATTCATCTTAAAGAAATAACCTGAAATGGAAACAAAGTTTAAGTAGTACTCAAAAAGAGTAAGTAGTACTCATGTACACTACCCATTTTAAGAAACAAAACCAATACTATGTAATTTCACTTTTCAAAATACTGACAGAGAACCTACAGAAATTTCAGACTTTTATCTAATTGTCACCTAGTAAAACCTAATGTTCATCTATATAAAAATGTCATTTATTTAATGTTGTCTTTCCCAATTTAGTTAAGTGCTAGTATTTCAAAATGAGAGAATTCCTGAATAATTTAAAATATGACATTTACATTTAAATACATTTTCTGATATTTAAAAGGGAACATCACATGGTTTTTATTATTTTTTATTATAAATTTACCATATTTATTTAATACTAAAACAGACTTTGGAGGTTGGCCAAAAAAATTTGGCCATTATTTTAAACAGAACAAAAAAAGGAAAATATGCTCCTTGTTCCAAATGGCTATAGAAAAATACCCAACTGTTACTTTTTAAAAAAGAGTAAATAGTACTCACATACACTACTCATTCTAGAAACAGAATTAATACTATGTAATTTCACTTTTCAAAATACTGCCAGAGAACCTACAGAAATTTCAGACTTTTATCTAATTGTCACCTAGTTAAACAAGGGAGGCTGTGGAGTTCTAAAAATCAGTCTCTGGTCATATGAAATAACTTACAATTAGCATTGTTATGCTTTATGCATGTATATATATTTTTCCTTATAGTTTTTTAAGAAAGCCCTTAGATTGACAACTTTTGACAGTAAGCAATGAGAATAAATGGATCGACTTCCCTGTATTAAGTGGTAACTCCACTTTAACACACCATTCCCTTTTTCCTGTCCCTTCAAACCACCCTCCTCCCAACTACCATCTCTACCTCAACTTCAGGCATACCAACCACCTCTGCAAGGAAAACCGACTGAAGACCAGACATCACTGTTCCCAACAAGTCACTGCCACACAGAAAGACTGTGAGGCCTGAAGCCATTTATAAATGACTGTTAATGGTACAACCTGTATAACCTGTATATATCTTCCTCTTTACTAATACAGTGGTTTGCAAACCATGCTTTTCTCAAGCAAATGTTAACATCTAAAACAGGTAGAAGACTTTCTCTTAGGTTTTTTTGTGTGATCAGAACAGGGGAGGCTGTGGAATACTAAAAATTACTGTCCAGGGAAACACAGAAACACAGAGGACATTTTTACAGGAGAAATCAGTTACTTGTATTTTATCTTCAAATACAACAAAAGAATGATCTGTTAAAGATGTTAAAAACTGTATTTCACAAAAATAAAAAGAAATGAAAATGTTACATTTATAATACTATTGGATCGACTGTGTCTATTCAGAGTCAAATGTTGGAAAGTGAACAGATTGTAAATAACTTTTTTGCCAATAATAGTATATTTTACCCTGTTAAAGATCTTTAAATGCTAAATGATTCTATACCTAATCACCAGTAGTTATTATTTTCCATTTTCAGCAGAACCAGAAATGATGGAGAAGGTTAATACAGCAGACATACACAAAACCAGTTACCCAGCATCACATTTAATATTCTCTCAACAGGGACAAATGTGCTGCTTAATATCATCAAGAGATGAATCAAGTATCTGTAATGTAAATTTGTACTTACCGTGATATTTAAATATATTGCACGCTGTTGAGCATCATAACTGACATATACTGACTTTACGCCTATGTATTTCACATCGATGGAGCGAGGGAAAAGGAAAAACACAGCCAGTCCAGAAAGGAGCAGACAGACAAACACTGACGCCATCACATACAGCTTTCTGAAAAGGAAAATGGAGTATTCAAATATGTGTGCATAAAAAATTACATGCAACATTTAGAGATTTTTTCAACTTTGATTTTTTCACCTATTACACTAGCAGAAACAGATGTACAATTTTACCAACTTTTTACATTATTAAAGTATTGAGTAGGGTTGGGTCTGAGTCTATTAAGCGTTAAACTGTTCTCCTTAAAAGATGTATTACTTTTTTTGGAGACCGGGATTTCAGGCTTATTACAGATAGAACATTTACTGCAGTGATTCCCAAATGAGGCTACACATTAAGAATCAAGCTGTGGAGCTCTATAAAAATACAGATTTCAAGACTCTCTCCTCTTCCTTCTGAATTCACTGAAGCAGAATTTTTACCTGTGAGTTTGCCATTATATGATTCCCTAAAGTGATTGACTTTGATTATGATACCTGACTGCAATCCTTTTCTGTTGCACAGAATTAAATGAGATGTTTTTGTACTTTTAACATAAGTTTCCATTTTAGGTGATGAGGATGGGCCAGGGTTGCTTTCCTAGCTTCACTGTTTAAGGACACCATCCTCTGTTGTAATGCAAAATATTTTTAAAAAGATGGCCTATATGAATATCTACTTCTATAGTTCTGAGATTCTCTCTTAGCTTCTGAGTCTTTCTTTCCTGTACCCTTATTCTTGCCCTATACAAACTGGATTCTATCACCAGCAGGTTCTTCCTTAGGATATGACTGTCCTTTTGCAAGAGTTTCCGTTGAGTTTCTCTAAGGTCTTTGAGGATTTAGGATGGTCTAGGTCCTCTGGTCTTCTCAAGGCCTCTTCACGGATCTCTGTGGCCTTTTTTGTGTGCCCTCCCAGGTAAAGCATGAATAGTCCTCCCATTTTAAAAAGTTACCTTATCTCAGAGGTATTTGCTGGAAGTCCTCTGAGTTAGGCCCTTTCCTTTTGGGGCAAAGCATCTACTTTTGAACCAAGGCTCTTGTTTTGCTTCCCTTCGCAGCTTCCATGCAGCTGTTAAGAATGTCTGTGTCCTTGCTGTCATCGTGGCTGGAATACTGATTTATTCTGGTGTGAGTAGAAATGCCTTACACCCATTTTTGATGAAAATGTCATCTCTGTGTTTCCTACTACTATTCTACGTTTGTCTGTTTTAATAAATAGATTTGAGAAGATTCAAATGCTATGCTGTTTTGAAGACTTTGCCCCAACCATAAAATCTCTTTTTTTTAAATGACACAAAGCATATGATAGCATAACTTAATACTGGGATTAACACTTTTCCTTTTAATAGTGTTAACTAATTATTTATACATACTTTGAGAAGCGAAAAATATACAATTTTTTTTTGCCATTTTCTTATGATCACTTACGTTCTTCTTGGCCTTAATCTCTGATCACTATATGGAATCAATGCCACCAGTTGGTTTTCTTGCCCTAAAAGTAAAGAAGTAGTTTAGAAAATTATTAACAGGACTAATTAAAAATATAGTGGCTTCCCCTCAAAGTCTGGTTTAGAAAGACCAGCATATTATCTAGTTTTCATCTCATTCCTTTAGTAAATTAGTCTCAAAATCTTACAAAAATTATCTAGTAAAAGTTGAGTTTCTGAGCAAATATTGTGTCTTTTCATATCTAGATGTTTAGCTAATTGGAATCATATAAGAAATGAGAAAGAATAATTCTTTTACTGGGAAAAAAAAAAATCTGAAAAGCCCTAGCTTTCAGAAGATCTGAATTTACCAGGCCTTCGTTCAAACTCAATTTTTCATTAAGACTCTGATTTGCTTATCTGGATGACAGCAGAAGAAACTTCGCTACCTCCTGAAACCCCTGTAACTGCAGAGGTTTCTACACTATCCCCCTTGAAAACCCAAACTGACACATTCCAGGTCTCACACTTCAAAAGCCTCCATTAATAAGCCTTCTGAGAATTTTTAGGCCAAACCCTAGGTTAAGCAACTTCAAAACTCATCACTTATTTCTTGGGTTGAGCTATATCCATATAATTAGTGGATAAATGGATCTTGAACTGCCAAGTTTCCAACTGCACCACAAATTATCTTTTTGGTATTAACTATTAAAGCACCATAAGCAAATTCTCTTTTAAAGCTTTCCATAATGCTTCCATTATTCCTCCCTGTCCCCTCCACAGTTCTCTCCTCATTTGTACTACCTCATTTATAGTACTCATTTATACTACCATACCCACATAAATAAATATTTTATATTTATGATATAGATATATCTATGTGTGTGTTTATACACATCCCATCTTGTTTGGTGGTACTCAAATGGCTAAACTACAATCCTAGTTAAAAGCAACCCTTCAGCCATTATGCCCAAATCCACTTGGTTAAATATGGATGGAAAAACATAGTCACTCACTGGTCTCACTGTAGATGACTAATCTCAGTGGCCCTTCATGATGCCAACAATCATACTATGTTTCCCTAATTCACATTCTCAATCCAATTCGCCAAGATCACGATTTCATAGCTTCACCTCTCTCTTCAGATCACCAGTATCTCCTTCCCTACCTTCAAGCTTAGCTCATGAGACAACGACAGAAGAGAATGTCCACAAGCTCCCACCACCACACCCACCCACCTACCTGCTTCTGTGTCTACTCACGCTACCTTCCTTCCCACCACTAAGAGCAAACTGCAGGTGCTCCTGCAAGAGAAGTCCTCTGCATTTGTGCACCAGATCTAGCAATTCTCCTGCATTATCAAATAATCTCCTTCTTTTCTCTACAGATCATTCGTATCAGCATATAAATACTATAAAATCTATCCTGAAGTCCCTTTCCTGACCTCATAACCCTTCCAGCTCCCATCTCTCCTCTCCTTTTCTAAATAGCAAAACTCCTCAAAAAACCTATTTTCTCATTATATAACTTTGCTCCCCTTATGCTCTCTTGATCCCATTCTATATGTGCTATACGTGTTTACGCAGGCTACCAGAACTGCTCTTTTAAAGGCCTCTACACCAAATCCAGGGGTGAGTTCTCAGTCCTCACTTCTCTGTTCTATCAGTAGCATCTAACATAGTTGATCACTCTCACCTCCTTAGTACACTTTCTACATTTATCTTCCAGGACACCACAGAACAGAGATTTCTTCCAACAACTCTAGCTGCACTTTTTCAGTGTCTTTGCTAATTCTTTCTAATGTCACTGATATTGAAAAGTTACAGTTCCCCAAGGTTCACTGCTAAGTCTATTCACACTGACAAGCTTGGTGATTTCATTCAACTTAGCTTTAAGTACCATCTATACACCAATGATTTCAGCCTAGGTCTTGCACATGAATTCCAGGCCCTTTTTAGAACTATTCTTAAAAAAAGAAACAACAAGCCCAAATAGAGTCATTTGCCCCTCAAACCAAGACTTAATTACAGTTTCAACCTATTGCAGGAATGTGACCTTTTTATAGGAATTTTTTGGTCAGCATCAATGAGGTAGTCCATCACATGGGCCCTCCCACAAGATGAGTTTATCTGTGTAAGACCCTTTGCTGTTCCCCATAAGGGAGAGTGATCTGTCTGAAACAACCCTTTCTTTTCTTTTGCAGTAACTTCTTGCCTCTCCCCCCTTCCTATGAAAACCTTCCATTTTGTACAATTGCTCAGATCACCTCTCTACTTGTTAGATGGGATGCTGCCCGATTCATAGAGAGCTTAATAAGGCCAATTAGATCTTCAAATATATTGCTGAATTTTGTTTTTTCACACTAGTAGTCACAATCCACTCCCAGGCTGTCAATAAAACCTGCTGACCATACCTCAAAAACATTTCCAGGTTGCTAAACTGCCCCTCCAACCCCCCATCCCCACCCACCCTCTTGCCCCCTGCAAGCCTGGTGATTTATTAATTCTTTCAACTATAATAATCCTTTCATTCATTAACAGCTTACTATCCCGGAAAAGATAAAATCATGCATTCAAAGGGCCAACTCAAATATAAACTTCCCCAACCTAAGATATTTCTCAAGAGACTCTGATATACCTTATACTGCCACTTTGTCCTTCCCTCAGGGTCTCCCCAGGCTCACATATCAAGCTCAACCAAGCAGAAAATGAGAACAGCACAAGGTACTTTTATTATTTCTATTGCTGTCACTGATACTAAAGTAGCCTACAAACAGCACAGGGGATTATTTCCTTCTGACTTCCCTGTCATAGGCCACAAACTGATTTTCTTTTTTCTGAGTCTCATCTTGATATACATCCCTCCTAACATAGTTCCTCTTAAAAATAGTAAGGGCATGGCCAGCTTATCATTCTTCTTTAGATAATGAATTAAAATATTTGGTCACCAAATTACATTGTTCCTAACACCAATATAGCAAAGGGACTAGGATATGACCTCTATTGATGTCCCAACAGAACAGTTAGGCAGAAAGACAGGTATGATCGGAATGAAGAGAGTGGGGCCCACCAAGAACTTGGGGAGTTAATCAGATAAAGCCAGAGAGCAAGAAAGTAAATTAAATGAAGTCACAGGGACTAAGAGTGACTTGAGGACACAGACACTCCCTAGACAAAAGCCTCAGAGTACAGGCATTCCCCAGATAACAAAAATTTCCCAAATAAAAAAAGTCAAGACTACAGCCCATGTCTTCAATCCTCTTATCAGATCAAGCCCCCTAGGCCAAAGAATGTCAATCAAGGATTTCTCTGCCCTGTTAAAAACTCCATAAAAGAAGTGTCACAGTCAGCAGCCTGACTTTGTCTACCTTGATGCTGGCCTGCTTCTCTCCTGGAGTGTAATTAAGTAAACCTGCCTTTGTCGACCTTAACTCTGGTACAATTCTCCCTTGCTGAGAATTCAAATAAAACTTTCATTCTGCTTCGCTACTGTGTCTCTGCCTTTCAATTCTTTGTTGCAGCAGAAACAAAAACTGAGGAGAATGAACTCAACCCATAACAGGATTTTTAGGTTTTCAGTCAAAATAGTAGATGTCTGCTACAACAGGTGGGAAAAAAAAAATACTGGGAGGTAGAAGGGCAGTTTTCATTACTGTCTTAGGAAATTGTTGTTTGTCTCCTTGTATTCTTTTGATTGAATATAAAAGATAAATTTTATCTCTAATTATTGTGGGTAAAATTGTAGTATTTCCAGAATATCTCACCTGGATCTAGTGCATATGCATACCAACAGGTGTTCCTCAGGGATGGAAAAAAGTTCATTTCCATATCAATGGGTAATTGCCTGGGCAACAGAGGGCTTATCTGAACCTGAGAGGTTAGGGGGAGATCTTGCTTGCTTCTGCCAGAGCAGGAAAGAGATGGCCCTGGACTGCAGTTTGTAAGCAATAAATGGGTTTTAAACTTTATTTCTTCCTTTGACTGCTTTCGGTTTTGGAGGTATTTTGCCCCAGGATTTCATCTCCCTGGAGTTACATCTGGCAGCAGCTGGCAGGATCTCTGAACCCAAAATCTGTCAAAATGGGTGCAACCTATGGGAGGGTTGCCCCTATTGATGGTGGGGAGATGCCCGGAACCCCCCTGTGGATGGTGGGGAGGTCCCAGTGGATGCAGTGGCAGAGGGTGCAGCTTCACCTGTTATTATCCCCCCAGCTGTGGGGCTTCCAATCTGGGAACCCCTAGTGGGGAATTGGTTGAGGGTAAAGTACCTCCTAGAGGGATGGGGAAGGGCAGAAATACCGAAAGGTGCAGAATTAGTCCTCCATGGGTGGGAAGACCGCTTGGAGACCCTAGGTGGCTATGTAGCAGCTGGCATTGTAGAGTCTCTTTTCATCAAGATAGTGAAAAATGTTATACAGGAGAAAGAGAAGATTATTGAGAGTGTTAGTGAGGAGAGAGAGGGACTTAGGTGGGAGAGAGACACACTTCAGCATCGCTTGGAGGAGCTGGGCAATAACCTACGGGATGCCGTTAAGGAAGAGAAACAGTTACTGAAAAGGCAGATCATGCTCCAGGAAGATTCCTTAGCATCCCTGAGGGGGGAGGAGGCAGGAAAAGCCACGGTGCAGGAGGTAGCAGGGGAGGGGAGGAAAGAGTGATGCCTTCAGCTCCAGAATGGAGGAGAACCTCGGGGGAAAGTGTGAGGAGGTGGGGCCATGAGCTGATCTGCTACCGAGGCCACCGCCTGAGGTGCCATCCTCTCCTATTTTAAAGGCCTGCCCAGCTATAACTAAAAAAATTAAAATGAAACAACCACAGGCTCCTCAGAGGGAGGAGCCACCCCGCAGACTGTGTGGCACTCCATGCTTGTTCCTTATACCCAGGATGAGCTGGTGGACAGTGTCCGGTATAGGGAGAAGCCATCGGAATCTCTGCCTACACGGCTTTTACATCTCCGGGATATGGGTGTGGAAAACATTGTTATGTCGGGGACTGAGATGAGCAGAATGGTTTCCCTGACAACTCACCCTTCCATCCAGCAGGGTTTGCAAAATGCCCATCATGCCTCCAGGAACCAGACAGTCCTGGAAAGGCTGACAGCTGCCATCAGGGTAGTTTGGCCTAATCAGGGTGATTTACCATATTTACCCAGTAGTTGGAAAAACGTATGCAGAGTTCTAACAGGTACTGCAGGAATTGGGTATGAAAAATATAATCTATAATTGGGACCCCCAGAGCCCCAATGTGGAGGTGTTCACCATAGAAATGAGAAATCTGGTGCTGCATACAACTCCCATATCTCTCTTTGGGTCCCTAGTGACTATGGTATGAAAAATATAATCTATAATTGGGACCCCCAGAGCCCCAATGTGGAGGTGTTCACCATAGAAATGAGAAATCTGGTGCTGCATACAACTCCCATATCTCTCTTTGGGTCCCTAGTGACTATTTTTGTTCCCCACATAGGGCAATCCATAAGCAAGGCTACTCATACTTAAGCAGATTCTGGACAAGGTTGAAACAATAGTGGCACAGAGGGAAGGTATGGGCCACGGTTGAAAGGAGAAGTGCAAAAGGCCCCGTGAAGGTCTCAAAGACCCAGATCTGGGTTGATTTGATAAAGGCCAGGGTAATGAAAGAAAAACTTGATGGGCAGCCCAATAGAATCTTGTTAGAACTGTGGCACCAATTAAAGCCAGAGCAGCAGTTCCAGCCGCTGAGATCCAGGACATGGAAAATGGAGTCAAAGCCTCATGCCTGGGCTGTGTACCTGCAAAACTTGCTGGAAGACAGTACTCAGGATTTGCCCAAGACCTCATCCCCACAGGAGGACATCTGGGCATCATGGTTCAACTGGTGGGGTGGCCAAGGTGGAGAATGGAGGCCACATGTAATTAGCAATTCACTGGTCCTCTGTGAATGTACAATGTGTCCTGACACTGGTGGACACAGGAGCTGAGTGTTCTCTGATTTACGGCAACACTGAGCATTTTTCCAGGACACTGGTGTAATAGATGGCTATAGGGCTAAGGCATTTAGAGTGAAGAAAGCCCAAATCCCATTGGGAATACAGTGTTTACTCCCAAAAGAAGTATACTGTGTACATTTCTCCCAGCCCTGAATATATTTTGGGGGTAGATATCTGGCAAGATCTGTGGTTACAGACCACTGCAGGTCAGTTCACACTGAGCATACATGTGGCAAAGGCAGTTCTGAGGGGACATGCTAAGCATCCACCAGTAGCTCTGCCTGTACCTCAGTGGGTGACAAATACTAAGTGGTAGAAATTGCCTAGGGGGCACAAGGAAATTGGAGAAACTCTACAGGAGTTGGAGAAGGTAGGCATAAAGCCCACTCATAGTCCCTTTAATTCCCAAGTGTGGCCAGTGAAAAAGCCAGATGGCTCCTGGCATATGACCGTGGACTACAGGGAACTGAATAAAGTTACACCCCTTTGCATGCTACTGTTCCCTCTATAGCAGCCATTCTGGACATGTTCAACCATGAACTGTAAATGTATCATTTAGTAGTAGACATTACTAATGCTTTCTTCTCTATTGACATAGCATAGGTAAGTCAGGAACACTTTGCCTTCATGTGGGAAGGACAGCGGTGGACATTCACTGTCCTTCCACAGGGATACCTCCACAGTCCCACCATGTGTCATGGGCTTGTAGCCCAAGACTTGGCCATATGAAGAAACCACAAATGGTGCAGTTGTATCACTACATTGATGGTATCATGTTCACATCTGATTTTCTTTCAGATTTAGAAGGGGCAATTCCTAGACTGATGCAACATTTACAGGAGAAAGGATGGGCTGTGAATGGCACCAAGGTTCAGGAACCTGATTTGTCTGTAAAATTCTTGGGGGTTGTCTGGTTGGGTAAAACTAAAGTTATTCCTGAAGCAGTCATAGACAAGGTTCAGACTTTCCCTACCTCTACCACTGTGGCAGTATTACAAGAGTTTTTGGGTCTTTTGTGTTTCTGGACAGTGTCTATCCTGCACTTGGAAACAAATTCTGAAGCCCTTATACTGGTTGGTATGAAAAGGCATCAGATGGGACTGGGATGAGACATGTGCAGCTCCTTTCACTGCTGCCAAGCAAGCAGTCAAGGCCATCCACCCCTTGAGTGTAGTGGACTCATCAGGACCCTGTGAGCTAGATGTTCATGTAACCAAGGATGGTTATGAATGGAGTCTTTGGAAGCAGCTTGAACGAACACACTAACCTACTGGATTCTGGTCACAACCATGGAAAGGAACAGAGGGCTGGTACACCTTGATAGAGAAGCAACTGGCTGTTGTGTACCATGCCTTGGTGGCTACAGAGACCACTGCCGGAACAGCTCCGACCAAAGTAATAACTACCTATCCCATTGCAGGGTGGATGTAAGACTGAACCCAAGGCCACGGAGTGGCGCTGCACAGACACCTACACTGGCCAAATGCGCCGCATATTTCAGCAGCGCAGCGCCCTCTCTACTAGCCCCTTAAGTGGAGAACTCTAATGCTCACTGGGGCCAATGACATATACCAGTGGAAAGTAGGAAGAACTTGCTTTTGAGCCATTGGTAGCCAAGAGTCCTGATCAGGAGGAAAAAGCCCCTATACCTGAAGATGCTTGGTTTATAGACATCTCCAGTCATGGGCAGCCCCCGAGGTGGATGGCTTTGGCTTTCTATCCTAAGACTGAGACAATATGGATGGAGGATGGAGAGAGGAAGAGCAGCCAATGGGCTGAGTTGCGGGTAGTATGGCTTGTGATCACCCAGGAGCTCTCCCCTATAACTGTCTTCACTGACAGCTGGGCCAGCTATCAGGGATTGACCCATGTAGGCAGGACCAATGAATTGCTAATTACATGTGACCTCCATTCCCCAGCTATCAGGGCAGGTCAAGGCTACTGACATGTTACCATGCCAGCTGGATGGTTAGTCACTGGCCCCTTTGGGGGCAAGAGTTGTGGCAAGACCTATGGGCCTCTGGTCAGACTAAGACTCTTACCATATGTCATGTGAGTGACCATTTGCCTTGGCATCCCCAGGGATTGATGAAGCAGACACACTGGCCCTGGTGCGCTGGCTAGAAGGAAAGCCTGCCTCTGATGCAGCCCAATGGGTACACCAGTATTCCATGTGGGGCAAAAGACAATGTGGGTTGTAGTCCGTCAGTGGGGCTTGCCTTTGACCTTTGAATAAGTCAGCAGAGCCCATGAGGACTGCCTTGTATGTTCTAAGAGGGACTTACACCGAGTCCCACAGCAACATGGGACAATATTAGGGGGATTTATACCCCTTGTCAGGTGGCAGGTAGACTATATTGGGCCTTTACCTGTATTAGAAGGGTATCGGTATGCCATGACTTGTGTGGACATGGCTACTGGACTATTGGTTGCTTTTCCTGCATATCACGCAGATCAGCAAACCACCAAGAGGGGCCTAGAGCATCTCTTTGCAGCCTATGGCAGGCTGCAGGTAATTGAAAGCGATCAAGGCACCCTCTTTACTGGATATGCATTACAAGGATGGGTGCAGCAATTAGGAATAAAGTGGAAATTTCATATACCTTATAACCTACAGGGGCAGGTATGATAGAGAGGTACAACAGTTTGTTGAAATCTGGCCTGAAGTCGGACACCAATAGTCTTCGGGGCTGTTCAGTTTGCCTATGGACAGTGCTACGGTGTTTGCATGAGAAGCCACATAAAGGAGCTTTGAGCCTTGTGGATATCCTAACACACCTTGCTGCCTCTTCTATACAACTGTATGTGCAAACCAAAGAAGAATTATTGAAGCCAGGATATGGCCAGCAGAGCAACATCCTGTTGCCAGCCACTACTGCATTAAACCCTGGTGACACTGTTGAGTGGACATGGCCCTGGACATTTCAACACATAGACCAGCAATGGCTGGCCCTTCTGGCACCTTGGGAAAAAGGCCTGCAAGCTGGACTCGTGTGTATTCTGGGAGTAACAGGAGAGTGGTCCCCAAAGATCATGTTAGTGCCCCCAAAACATCCAGGAGGTAAGAGCATCTTATGGGGAGTTTTGTTATATCTTTAGGGCCAATGCATGTACCTCCCATAGCCCTATATATTGACCCATTTGTAACTTCCACAGGGAGGGGAGTGAAAGTTTGTTATACTAGACCAGGATGAGATTCCATTCCTTCCACTGTTTCATCACAGGACCACTCTCTTGCATGTATCCTACCTAATGGACAAGATTTGCTTATGCTAGTGTCATTAAAACATGTACCTTGTCACCCTTAAGGTTATTATCTCCTACAGTCCTTGTGGCCTGATACACCCCCTGGCTACAGCTGCTGTGTGATGATTGCTCTGAACCCTCTACCTCTTCAGCTACTGCCTGCCTATGGAATGGGCGAGCTATAGACTTAATCTGCGTAAGACTTTGAACCTCGCTGAATCCTCTGGCCTGAGGATTATCATGATTTTATTGCTGTTGCTATTGTATGTCATTAGTCTGGTCACAATGGTCCAGTTTTCTCGCCCAGGGACCATTGCAGAAGAGGGGGAATGAGTAGATTGTAAGGCGAGATTTCTGGAGAAGTGGCCTATGGGTAAAATTGCAGTATTTCCAGAATCTCTCACCTGGCTTTAGTGCATCTCCATACCAACAGTTCTTCCTCAGGTACAGAAATGAACCAATGTGTAATTACCTGGGCAACCAGGGGCTTATCTGAACCTGAGATGTTAGGGGGAGGTCTTGCTTGCTTCTGCCAGAGCAGGAAAGAGATGGCCCTGGACTGCAGTTTGTAAGCAATAAATGGGTTTTAAACTTTATTTCTCCCTTTGATGGATTCCGGTTTTAGAGGTATTTTGCTCTGGGATTTCCTCTCCCTGGAGTTACAATTATAAAAGTCTTTAAAACACAGAAGGTTGTGCTTAGACCCACGGGTTTTATAATATTTATACAAATGCCTGGAATCATTCTTTAAAGGAAAAACAATGCAGTAACACATACCCCTAGGAATTCTTCCTGTTCCTTGACAAGTGGGGCAAGTGACACTATCTCTTCCTGTAAATTCCACATATGGAAACTGAGAGACATCTCCACTTCTTCCATCTTCATTATGGACTTCACCATTAACCAAGCCATTCCTCATATTATCAGTTGATGTGACTCCACCATAAGAATCTTCTTTATTTGAATGCAAAGGTAAATGAGAAAATGACTTTCCCATGTCTAAAGAAAAAGAAAAATCTTACAGTAAACTTCAGGAAAAAAGTACACTCAAGAACATTATGGGATATTTATATCTAATTAATTTATCAAACTTCAAAGGAGTGGTCAAACTATTTTGGGGGGTTATTTATATTCAGTAATATCTGAAATAAGAGGGCCAATTACTATCTAACAAAATATTATGAAATGATATACAGGACTTGAGATGAGAATGGGTTTTCAAACAACAATGGAAATTGACAAAAGTAAACATTTTCTTAGAGTTCTCTTAAACATGCTGGCTTCAATTTTCTTAGAATAAAACAACAAAAATATTCTGTCTTTAAACCAATTAGCAATGAAGGCAAAAGCTGCTTTGGGCAAGTTACAGCTAGGTATTATACGTATTACCAGGTAAGTTCAAAATAGTATTTTTCAGCCTTTAAAAAAAAATTGTGCCCCTTTGTGTTAAATACAATTCACAAACCTTATCCCCACATTTCTTCCTTTAAACATATTAACACTTGCAACAAAACTCAAACACCAAATCCTGCAGGTTTTTTCATTCAAAAGTTGGCAGAATTAAAGTTACAAAATTAATACTAAAAAATATTAACATAATTCACCCATACAGAGCAGCAAAACTTAGAACATTAATTTCAAATTTTTAGAATGCCAATATCAAAAACAACATGAAAAAAACTAATATAAATTTAAAACCTAGTAAGAATAAGTAGTACTAGTACCTATACAAAAATAACCTCCACAGGTAGATAATGCAATAAGACTGCAGCTAAGGTCATACAATTTTCTGGAGGAAAATAACTTCAAAGTCATATTATCCAATCTGCTGATATTCTGAGGAGAAAATTAATGAAGGAAGAAAGTAGAATTTAAAAAAAACATTTCTTCTCCAAATTATCAATTCCTAAAAACATACTGTCATAGACATTCATACAAAGATAGTATTTCTTTCAAAAATTCTCACTGATACAAGGAAAACTGACACCCAAAGTAATTCAATTTATCCTGTAAGTATGAAGAAAAGTTTTCTTTTGAAATTGCCATGCCATCCACGTTGGGGTCATTCATAGTGTAAACATCAGAATACAAAAGCTACATAGTTATTAGGCAAAACTATAGAATGACAAACTTATTTTCACTGTTTTACCATTAAAAAAATCTATGTACACATTGTCCAAATGCAAAAACATAAATTATTTATGACTTTTACAATGCATTATCTTTCCTTGTTTTGTCTGACATTAAATCCAAGCCACACCAACATTTGCCAGTCACAGGTGGTTCAGGAGTGAATTAATATCCCTGTCCCCACACACTGTGACCTTGGAGCGTCTGTAGAATACTAGATGAGCTGAGTCAATGGGCCTCAGGAGCACGGCCTCAGAGGCAGCCTTTCTGGGATCTTTTGTTAACACAAAAGGAGTGTAAGGTACAGTCTACTCTAATGCCTTAGGGGGAAAAGACATAGAAGGCCAAGTGGCTGTCAGTCTGGCTTGTTTATCTAACAGTTGCCTTGACGAGTCGGCCTCTGACAGGTGTTTGTTTCATCAAGGGTACTAGGCTTCCCAGCCCTCTCAGTTGGATTTACCTCAGATCACTGATCAATTTAACCACTTTAAAAATTCCTGAAGACTTGTTGGCTTATAAACAGGTGCTAGGCCTCTTCTCTGTGCTCAATGTTTTGATGACAATCTCTTAATTTACTGAAAACAACAGGAATATCAGGCTCAAAATCAAGGATAAGAACCATAGCACTCCATCGAGTTGTAATGGGGAGAGGAAGCCAGCACCTTTCAAAAGCTACCACTTTCAGAAGCAAAACCAGCACACAGACTACTCTGGATAGGTTAGAGATAAGATCCTGGTAACCGTGCAAGAAAACTCAAGAACAGCAAAACCAAGGGCCCGTCTGGCCGCACAAAGTGTGGGTGGGAGTCTGCAATCAAGCCGGTCCAAGGGGCTTGGGCTGAAGCCTGTAAGTCCTTTGGCAGAAGGCAGGGCCCCGAAAGGAGGAGGCGACACAAGCCTCCGTCACCCGGCCTTGAGCGCCTCCCTGGACGCCTGGCGGGCCCCGCTCACCAGAGGCCTCCCCAGGTCCCTCGCGGTCTCCCCGGTTCCCCGATGGCCTCCCCTCCTGCAGTTCCCCGTCTGGATGGCCTCTTCCCGTGGAGCCCCTGCTCGCCCCGCTCCGGAAGGGGACCTGGGGGCTGCGCGTGCGGGGTCGCTTACCGCCACGCGCAGCGCTGTGCGGTCTGAGGCTGCTCCCGGGCAGACAGGCGGAGGACAGGGTCACGGAGTCCAGAGTCCCGGGTGCCGGGCTGGAGCCGCTGGCCTGCAGGGCCAGGTCGCTGCGGAGTCGGGTCGGGGGAGGGGCAGCAGGCCGACAGTATCAACGAACAGCAGGCGCGGCTGCTCGCGGCGCCCGCGCCTGCGCCGAGCGCGCCGGGAGGAGGCGAGGCACCCAGAGCCTGCGTGACGTGTGCGTTCGGCCCCCCCTTCCGGAAGCCTGGAAGCGCGGCTACCACAGCTGCGCATGCTCGCAGATTCGTTACCGTGGTCTCCACAGACCTGAAGGTAAAAATGGGCCCTCCTGACCCTGAAAAAGTAAAAATAATAGTACTGCCTCCCTTTTGCCCCAATCTGGTCATTTCCTTTTGCAAAGGGGAAAAACATGCCCCATCTGCCGCAGCCCTCCGGTGAGCAGCCTGCCCGTCCACGCTCTGCGAGTTGTCCCTGACCCTCGCGATGCTGCGGGAGGGGTAAACTGGTTGGTAGACGCACGTCTGGTGGCCGACAAGTCCCATCTGTGTTAATTTAGAACTTCTTACCCAGCAGAAGGAAACTAAGTGGGCGGGAAAATTGTTTTGATTTTGTTTCTGTTTTTGCACTTGGCCGTCTCCCCCACCCCATCTTTCACTCAGTGGTTAGTTAACTGGGCGAAGTTATCTTATTTAGAAAAAGAGTAACAATACAGAGTTGTTTTGAGGGTTAAGTGAGATACAAGGAGTAACTGTCAAGCACAGACTAAAATTGCAGAGAGTCTAACTTTTAAACAATATTTAAAACTAGTGTATCCACGTGTGAAATAATGAGCTTAACTCACACAATGTTGCTGAAGATGTGAATTCTTTTAAATTTTCTGACAGGCAATGGAACAATATGTATGAAGAGTATTAAAAATTTGAATTTTCCAGTCCTTTAGCCCAGCATTCCCACCCTTCGGAATTTATCCTAAACCTAATCAGAATTCTAAAAAGATCTTTGTACTGTTAATGGAAAATACTGAAAAACCTGGACTGGATCGCTGACGGAAGAACCAAGGGGCAATCTGAGGTCTTGGAGTGTTGAGGTTTTATTTTTACAACAGCAGGCTCAGAGGGGAGTAATCTTCCAAGGTCTGAGCCCCGAGCACACGCAAGGGGAGCAATTTATATTATTTTGATATGTGGCATTTAAGCATGAGCAGGGCAAAAGAGGAGCCTGGAAGAGGGGAGGAGGGAACTGGGAGTGCTTTGCCAACCAGACGAAAAAAGTGGTTTGCTGACCTTGACGGCTGTGTTGAATGTTTTCCTTATCAGTACAAAGTGTGTGCATTTAACCTAAATGTCCAACAACGGGGCATTGGATGGTTTCAGCCTCTTTTAGCCCATGTCTTCCAATGGCACATTGGGTAAATCATTTTCACCTCCTTTATTTTGCCCATCTTCCAAAGGTGTGTGTGTGTGTGGAGGGTGTAGAGGGGAAGCATCCTCTGCTAACATTGTTTGAAATTTCATAATAAATAACTTGGCTAAAGCAAATCAGAATCATGGGGACCTCCCTCTCTCAAGGGGGAAAAAGAGACATACAATAATATTATGAATATGTTTTCAGGGGGCTCACAGATTTTTTTTGAAGTCTGTCCATGAAGGTCAGATTAAAAACCCTGGCTGTAAAATAACTAAGGATTAATGTGGCAAGAAAATTATTCCATTGTCATGGAAAACCCAGTTAGATTTAGATGGCTGTATTTAGACCTTAATCATCACAACAGTGGTGGTATATTTGCTAGCCATTATTTCTCCATGTTTTCAAAAGTGGCTTTGGGAAACAGTGATTAGGGATTAGGGATACAGAGGCAGATTCAGTTGTGGTATGTCAATACTAGGTGACCCTGCATTTCTTTTCAAAAAACCCTGAACAGATGTATGCTCTGGTACAATTTTCATGTTTCCTCTGTTAAAAAAAGTATTGTCATTACTTAAATTCCAGTTTAACAGTAAAGCAGTGAGTTTTAATTTTTGTTTATGAAGTGGGCCACCCTTGATTCTAGCTATGGGTTATTCTGAGTTGCCTCAATGGCCGCCCAAGGAGGGGGAGCAGTGGGAAGATATGTAAGTAGATTCAATATTTTATGGATTGCATTTAAAACATACCACTGCTCTAATCATATAAGTGATCTTCTAAATATAATACAATAAATTTAAAGTAAAATTAAATTTAAAATATAATTTAAATAAATGTTTAATTTATTGTAAATACAATAAATCCAATGAACTTAAAGTAAAATGAGTGTAAATTTAAGGTATTAAAATTAATAAAAATCAAATTAAGTAAATGTTTTAAATCTTAAGGGAGCTCTTACATAGAGCTCATCCCATCCTTACCTAGCAACCCCCAAGCTCAAAATGTTTTAAAAAATCTAGTTACAGCTTATAATTAAATAAATTTATCCTTATTGTATATTAATTTTAAGATAGAAATGGGAAGTTGATAAAAAAAAAACAGCAGAAATTCCATACCTATAATTACCCAATGTATCTCCCTAGTTCTCAAGTCTTCCAGAGTTACCCTTTTCATTAATAGTCAATTAAAATAACCTAAACCCTCTTCTCCAAGGGAGTACACTTTTCCAATTTTTCTAAAGATGTATGAAAAGGGGGGCTTACTACTTTTTGCTAGTAATTGACTCTCATTATTTTATATACTCTGTTCCTTGCTCAAGTCTCAATCACTTTGTATTGTTTTATCACTGCTTGTTTTCTCTCTCTTACATCCCTTTGCCGCATGTTCAAACATAACAGTTCCTTTACAACATATCACAAGTCACCAGTTACAGAAAGCTCTATCTGTAACACATTATCACCAAATATTTTTAGAAATTAAAAAGTGGATTAAGTACAAAAAAAGGAAACACATAAAACTGAGTATCAGACATTTTTCCCAAGAGTCGTGTTGTAGTGATTCCCCTTCTATCTAAGCCCAGTCTACCATCAGTTCCCCAGGGGTCCACTCTGGCTGTACATATGCTGGAGTTTTCCCCAAAGTTTTTCTCTAAGACCTTGGGCCCAGACACCCTTTTTCACTGCTACTGAGGACAATGCACAGTTCCTCTCATACAGGTCAGTTTGGCTCTACTTTTATCCCAACCTCACCTCTCTCTCATAAGACTATCTTAGAAACTTCTCTTTTTTAACTAAAGTGCCCCCTAATATTGTTCCCCAATACAGCACTATCCACAGAACCCTTTTAGAATGCAGTAACAACTGCCATTAAAATTTGGGGATCCTTTCTTTTGTTCCTCTATTAAAGATAGAATGACTAGAACATAAAAGGACTAACTATGAATATGGGAATTTTTCCTCTGAAATGCCAGTTATCAGTTCAGGCATTAGATGAAAGTATTAATTATCTATACCAGTACTGTCCCATAAAAATATAATTGAGCAACAAATGGAAGTCATATATCTAATTCTTTTTTTTTTAATTTAAGTATTGTTGATATACAATTTTATGTTGGTTTCAAATGTACATCACAGTGGTTGAACAGTCCCCGTGATCAACTTATATTGGGATTGCCCTTTTATCCCTCTCACCTAACCCCCACCTGCTCCAGCCCCTTGGGAACCACTCGTTACTTCTCAATGTCTATGAGTCTACTCCTGTTTTGTTCCTTCCATTTTGCTTTGTTTCTATATTCCACAAATAAGTGAAATCGTGTAGTATTTGTCTTTCTCCAACCTGGCTTATTTCACTGAGCATAATACCCTCTAGATCCATCCATGTTGTTGCAAATGGCAGGATTTCTTTTCTTCTAATGGCTGAATAATACTCCATAGTATATATGTACCACATCTTTGTCTAGTCATCTGTTGATGGACACTTGGGCTGCTTCTGTATCTTGGCTATTGCAAACAGTGCAATGATAAATATAGGGGTGCACATATCTTTTTGAATCAGGAATTTTGGTTTCCTTGGGTAAATTCCTAGAAGTGGAATTACTGGGTCAAATGGTATTTCTATTTTTACTTTATTGAGGAACCTCCATACTCCTTTCCACAGGGTTGCACCAATTTGCATTCCCACCAACAGTGTAGGAGTATTCCTCTTTATCTTCATCCTCACCAGCGTTTGTTTCTTGTCATTTTGATAGTGGCCATCCTAACTAGTGTGAGGTGATATCTCATTATGGTTTTAATTTGCATTTCCCAGATGATTAATGATGTGGAGCATCTTTTCATTTGCTTGTTGGCCATTTGTATTTCTTCTTTGGAGGAGTGTGTGTTCAGGTCTTCCACCCATTTTTTGATTGGGTTATTTGTTTTTTGGGCATTGAGATATAAGAATTCTTTATGTATTTTGGAAGTTAACCCCTTATCATATGAATTGTTTACAAATATATTCTCCCTTCTTGTAGGATGCCTTTTTGTTCTCCTGATGGAGTCCTTTGATGTACAGAAGCTTTTTAGTTTGATGTAGTCCCACTTGTTCATTTTATATTTTGTTTCCTTTGCCTGAGGAGATGTATCCAGAAAAAAGTTGCACATGCTTATATTCAAGAGGTTTTTGTATGTTATCTTCTAAGAAATTTATCATTTCATGACTTACATTCAGGTCTTTGATCCATTTTAAGTTTACATTTGTGTATGGAGTTAGGCAGTAATCCTGTATCATTGTCTTGCATGTAGCTGTTAGTTTTCTTCAATAATGAAGAGACTGTCTTTTCCCCATTGTATATTCACTGCTTTATCATATATTGACCATATATGCATAGGTTTACATCTGGGCTCTCTTCTGTTCCATTGATCCATGGGTCTGTTCTGGTTTGATTACTGTAGCTTTATAGTAAAACTTCAAGTCAGGAAATATAATCACCCCAGCTTCGTTCTTCTTTCTCAGGATTGCTCTGGCTATTTGGGGTCTTTTGTGGTTCCATATGAATTTTAGAACTATTTTAGTTCTTTGAAGAATGCTGTTGGTATTTTGATAGGGATTGCATTGAATCTGTAAACTGCTTTGGACAAGATGGCTATTTTGACAATATTAATTCTTCCTATCCATGAGCACTGGATAGATTTCAATTTTTTGGTGTTGTCTTTAATTTCTCTCGAGTGTCTTGTAGTTTCAGAGTATAGTTCTTTCACCTCCTTGGTAAGGTTTATTCCTAAGTATTTTATTCTTGTTGATGCAATTGTAAATGGAATTGTTTTCCTGATTTCTCTTTCTGCTAGTTTGTTGGTAGTATATAGGAATGCAACAGATTTCTGTGTATTAATTTTGTATCCTACAACTTTGCTGAATTTAGTTATTAGTTC